AAAAACTAAGGACCCAGCCATCTAGAAATCAGGTCTCATACTGCAGTAAATTGCCTTGTAAGTTTTACTGGCATTTATACTTCCATTTCTTTCTTTCACTGTCTCTCACCACGTTTTTTTCTCTTCTATAAAAAAGAGATTTTTTTTTTTTGTTTTGTTAACTGAGTTTACCTAAGTTCTCCTTCTTGACTGCAAAGGAGAAAAATTAAAAACTGTAAGGAAAAACCATTACTTCTCAAGTACTTCTTCCTTTAAAAACATCCAAGGTATTCAATATGTTAATTAAATTTTAATTAGCCATTTCCTTTGTGCTAGGAAAATGCCTATTTTATTGTGCGAACAAGCAATTTAGGACAGCATGGCATTATTTTAGAAAGCTGGCTACAAGTTCTTCTTTAGAGGAGAAAATAACTCTCACATTAGGAGAGCAAAGTTATGCTGAAATGTTTAGAACTGCAGAATGTACCTTGAACTGGCACAGAGCAAATAAAGGCTTTGATGTTTTAATGTGTGTTCCTGCTACTAGGTGTTCTGTGTTGCCAGACAGAACAAACACTTAGGAGAATCTCTGCACTTTTAGTTTCACTTCAAGGTGAAATGCCAGCCCCATCAAATCAGCAGGTTGAACAGAGTTTGCTGCAGTCAGGATTACACCCAAGTCATTTGTCCAACCTCCCTTCTTAACTCTTCATGTTCCTTCAATTTTCTTTTAGGTGAAGCCATATTGCCAGTCAGGTATTAAACATTTGAGATGCTTAATCAGATTTGATTTCAAATTAAGTGCTTTGAGAGCTTTACTTCTGAATTTCCAATCACCAAAAGCAGAAGATCACATAATTCTTCATTTGCAGTGGATAAGAAAGGAATTACTTCTACAGAAGTAAGGTTCCTGTCTCAACCCTTGCATCCTTATCACATTAAATAAAAATAAATTTGTGCTTTATGGTAATATTGCAAGAAAACCAGATAGAAAGCCAGACACCACAGCTCTCTACCAGCTAAGATGCAATGTTACAATGAGACTAATTTTGCCCAAAAAAAAAGTGTGAAATCATTTGGCTATTGAAATAAGACGGTACAAATTTTCAAAGTTTGGATCATTAAATGTACTTTATTAGAATGTCTTAAAGGGACACAGCCAAGTGAAAAGGCATGTTTCTAGTTTTGTAAAGTGAAGTAATTCCATGAACCACTGCAAAGAATTGCTTTTTGTGTCTTTTGTTACAGAAGTGTAGTAAAATTTAAAAGATTAAAAAGGCCTATTATTTCATTCAACACATAGCAATATTTTCACAAAAGCTTTGTTGAAGGAAGTTTTAGTCAGTTCGTGGAACAGTGTTTTCAATGTTTCTCATATCAAATATTTTGCAATCTGCTAAAGTATCTGTATTTTTCCTCTTAAAGTTTGGCTACTTTTTAATTTTATTTCATGTATAGCCATTGTGCAACCCAATTAAAAAACATTACAGAGCTTCCCAGGTTTGGGACCATTTATCCAGCTGAAGAACTACATCTGTCAATAGCTTCTTCCCACTGTTGTCTGCAGGGCTATGAAGTCAAAATGCACATATGCATTCCCATTTTCAGCCCATTTCCCCCTTACTTGCTGACACACAAAATGTCAATCTCTCCCCTACCAACATCAGGATTCATCTCCCCCTGTGGTTATAAAACCCATGGCAATTCTTGGGCACACAGAACCATGCAGAAGGTGCTTTGGTCCACATGTAGACACATCTGCTGGAAATATGCTTGGAATTAGCAACTTTAAATGGTGCTTCAAGGTCCTTGTCTGAAAAGCTGGACTGAAGTACAAAGTGCCATTACAGTATCGATTACTTTTCCATCAACACAATTCAAAGCAACAGTACAAGAACAGGCACAACAAATTATATAAAGAGAAGGCAGAGGAGGAACAGGAATTATTCTTCCTAAAATACGGTTATGCTTTCTGGTTCACACTGAGCACCTGACCAAATATTGTCAAATCTGTTCTTCCATTCCTTTATCATCAGTTTGAGAAAGGAGGGATTGGCTGAAAAAATCCTAACCTGATCTCTAAACCTCTGATCTATGGACAGATGTAGAATATTTTTTTCTGATGGTTTCTGGTGTCATCTGCATTTCCCATATTTCTGGCACCATTACTCACTGCTGTCTTCCATTCTATACATCACTGAGGAAATATCTTTAAAAAAGAGAAGAAACAGCAGCAAGCTGGGAAAGCAGAAGCAATCAGTCAAATCTGTTTGGGGCCTCCTACAATGTAAAAACAATTGTTGTTCAACTTAACACAGCAAAATCCTGATGCATGTTTATCTAGATTCTGCCTCTCTGATGCCTTGCTTGAGTGTTGTTTTAATGCATTTTCATGGTTGGTTGATCATTTTCATCATTCACTTCAAATGTGCATTGATGTGTCATTAATTAATATTAATGACAAATTGTCATATAAGTGCAAAGACTATGGGAGACTATACATGGTTCATTAAGCTAATGTAGCTTAAGAAATTAACTGGACTTCCAAACATGTTAGCTACTGGCTCCAGTAAGAGTGAGTACTTAACACTCAACCAACTTAGTGTCAAGTATATTATAAAGATGGAGAAAAATGAATTTTGAAAAATATTTAACATTCCTAACAAAAGATTTTAATGTATCTGTTAGTGCTGAATCCTCCTGTAAGTGTTTGGATTCCTGTGTATAGGAATACACAGAACTGTTCCTCCCAGGAATCTACCCTTAATGTGTTAAACTCAAAGGCTGCTGCATCTCTGTTGCAGAAACACAGATATTATAATCCCAAAATACATACCTTTGGTATCTCCCATTTAATTGCAAAATATTTTGGAGATATCTTTGAACAGGGTGTAGAGCTCATGCTGGCCAATATGTAAGATAGAGGTTCCATGAAAGCCTAGAATTAGCCTTGATTTCTGGTGCTAGATTAGATAGTTAATTGTGAATAGAGATACGTGGTTAGAATCTGATACTTGAGTTTGCAAAGGAGAACAGCACACAGTTAAAAAGTTAGATTTCATATGTGATTTCCTATGTGTTTTTTTGCTTGGAAATTACATTTTGTCAAGGACCTCAGCATATGGAGATGGCAAGAGAGGATTCAGTTCTGGAAGGGGCCCCCTAAAATATCAAGTCAGTCTCAGCTATTATTTAAACATGATCATAAACCAATCAAGCTTAACACCTTAGGTTTATCACAGAGCTTTAGAAAGCTGTTCTCACATCTGATCCTTCTGAAGATTCCAATCTTTCTTTTTATATATTCCTAAATGTATTCATGGCCATTTGCTCCAGTACAGTCAGACTTTGGCTAATGTACCAATTCCATTTCCCTGGTGTTTATACATTGATGTAGTTAGAAACAATTCTCCAGTCAGTTCTCACTTGACTGTATTTTAAAAATGTGTGTGTTTCAGTCCTCCTCATCCCAATTATAGGAAGGTACAAAAATTAAAAATAGATTGAATAAAAGTAGAAAATTTCAGTGGATTTGCTTTTTTTTTTTTTAATTTGGCATCTCAGGGATCAGTTAATACTAATCTTCCTGTTTGCTCAGACTGGATCAGCCCTTCTGAGTAAATTGTGTTTCCCATTGTGCTGATCTTTTCAGATGAGAGGACTGACTGAACGGCTGATACAGCCACTTCATGGTCTTTGGGTGTGCAGGCAAAGCACAATCAAAGCTGTAGGAAGGAACGGATGCTATTTATGTAGAAGTCACACTTCTGTCCAAACTGGATATCCTATGAAGCTATGGATTTTGTTACTCAAACTAGAGTCTCAGATTAGCATCACAGCCAATACATAACTATAACACAATACATAATTATGCTGGATTTTTTCCTTCTACGTGGGACAAATAGCAGCACTAAAATTATAGCATGGTGGCACCTTTGGGGGAAGTGGCTGGACTAAAAGCTCCTGAAAACTGTGCTGCTAATGGCATCACAAGAACCTAGGTCAAGTGATACTATGAAGGCATCATTTTTCCAGGAACTGACAAGATTTGCTGGCTGAGTAAATCAAACCATGTTCCACAATGGCAGATGGAAAGGAAATTACTCTTGCATAGGCTTGAGAAACTTTCTTTAGCCAGCTCTATCTCTTGCCAAAGTCTGGCAAGTTCAGCTGGATGGCAGCTGCAGGCTGACTGCCCAGGTCCTGTTTAGCAAGGCAACAGAGACTTTTTTTCTGATTTAATCAGCACTAGAACATCACTCAGCTTCAGAATGCAGAGTGTTCACAAGAACTCAGTCCTGCTGTGTTAATCAGAGACTCTCGTTGTTGAATTAACATGCATTGTCTGAATAAGTACTTTTTCCCAGTGACTTTGACTTTTCCAGGATAAGCAGTTCAGTAAACTGTAACAGAAGTGCTGCAGATATCTATAAGATAATGTATGCAGAGTGATGTGATAATAGAGATGAAATAAACAGTCACTATAGTTGATCTCCCAGAAGGATGCAACACCACAGGCACTTTCAGCAGGAGCATCAAAAGTCAGTCAGCCAAGCTGAAAATTAACTACAAGCAAGTGCAGACTTCAGTGTCATGGAAAATACAGACAGCAAGCTACAGAGTGATGCTTGAAAACACAGGATTAAAATGCCATTGAAAACTATGAATTCCTTTGGCTCTTTCCATAAATTGAGAGACTAATCAAGTGAGGGCGCCTGGTAAAATAGTTGGAATATATGAATGCACTTGGGCTCTTTTTGTTGTCTATTACTCTTCCCATTTCTAGAAGTAAAGATGCTTTGGGGGAAAGGAAGAAAAGGATTTTCCCACAAACATAATCAGGATCCTTCTAGCACATATTAACTCCCTTCACATTTTCTCAAGATGTGGTCGACCAAGAGAGAAGTAAATGACATTTTAGTTTTGCTAACTTTGTAAACTTTAAATTAGAGGTTTTAGTTTTGGTCTAATGACACCTAGAAAGATAAGAATTGACCTTTATGAGACTTCTATCATTCCAGAGAAAATTGCTTGGTTCAAGAGGAACCTCATGGAGCTCAAATGCCAAGTGAACATGTGAAATACCAGGTTTTTAAGTGGAGTTTGCACAGCTGTCATGCTGGTTTAACTTCAGCCACAACTCTGAATAACAGGAAAACAGAACTTTGCATGGAAACTGCTTTTCTGGCCTTTGGCAGAATACACCAGTAAGTCACTTTGCCTTAACTTTGGCTCTCCCTCTGTTTATTCTTCTATTTTTTTCTGTTCTCTCATTCTTCCTGTGCTTTGTATATTTTATTTTTTAATGATAATTATTTAAATTACTTAGCATTTTTAAAAATATTAGAGTATGATTCAATATCTTGGGTACAGTGAAAGGATTCCAGCTCCAACATGAAGCTGAGCTGGTTATCTTGTCATTTGATTCACGATGTAGGAAGAGCTGTAAAACACTTGAAAATCAGGGGTTATTTGATTTTTTGTCACTGATTACAGATGCAGATCAAGCAATTAAAAGTTTTCTAAGAAATACAAAGCACTGCAGATTATAAATATTAAGTGCATCCAAACTATTTCCAAACTGCTATTACAAAAGTCAGAGATACTTGCTGATAGTTTACATGATGAGATTCTAAACATAAGATCTTTTTCTGCCTCAAACAATACAATACTTTTCATATTTCTTTTGCCACTTCCTTTGTTATTAACATTGGTTTAGAGTCAAAGTACACTTTAAAAGCAGAAGGAGTCTTGGTACCATGATTAGATTCTGAGACATACCAGTGTGAACTTCTGCTTGAAAAGGAGATTTAAGGTCTGGGATCCCACAGAAGGCACCATCCTCTCAGCAAGAGTTTCCCCAGTAATCTGTTGCACAAGGCATAATGCTGTCTCACGCTAAAGCTATGTCTCAGGTTAGGCACAAATCTTGTTACTTTCTTAGCCTGACTAATGTATTTTACTTCATTGAGGCACTGTGATACTCTGAATCGCTGAAAATTAATCCAAAAAAGTGTTACTGTCTGTGTGTATACAGGACAAGAAGACGTCGCCTGAGATTGACAACTACATAAACAAAATTTGCAATGTGAAACATGAAACTATGTGAGAAGAATACAATATAAATCCACAAGGAGATAGAAAGTATGTGAAAGCCTTTTGCTGCTGGTGGCAAAAAAAAGAAACAACATGTTGGACGTGAATGTAAGCAAATGTTTTAAGGTAAGTACATGTTTCTGGGGAGAGCCTGGTGCTCCCATCAGGCTTTACAGATTGATTCATTTCAATCCTGTTGACACAATAGAGACTAAATCCCTCATACTTTGGTTTGAATTCATGCATTTACCTCATATTTACTCATTTTGAAAATACTGATTCTCACACAAAGTCCTGGAATTTTTTCTCTAAGAGACTGTTTCAAAACAGACAAGACAGAGAAAAACATTCAGATTTTAGACATATTTTGTTGTGTTCAGGATTTCCTTAAATGATTGTCTGCTTCATTCCTGACATGCCTGTTTGTTCGCCAACCATGAGCAAAGACATTGTGTAGTCAATCCTGCTTCTTTTCCATTTGCACTTATTCATATTCTGATAAACTGGACTGGTTGCCTTTATAGCAAAATAAGACTATATAAAATAGTCTCGAATGCTTTACTTCAGAGACCTAATATGTAAACAGGGTGTAAAAGAAAGCTTCTTTAATTCCAAGAAATATAGCTAGTCTTGGCTTTCTTGCATGTCCTTAACTGAAATGAAGCTGAGACAATCAAAGAAAGAAATTTCAGCTTCAGCAGGATATGTTGATGACATCAGATTTTTTAGTGTCTTTGAACCAGAACTATTTAGAATTTTATCAACTGCGATGAAGATCAGAATTAATTTCTCACCATTGATGGTGATATCTGAATTTTTATTTCAAGTGACAATTTACAAAAATGTAGAGCTTTAGCACACAGATCATCTCATAAACTTAAGGGTGGCTGTTCACATGCTTAAGCTGTCACACACTGAGTCATTGGGTATTATTTTACTTCAAGAAAGATCAGGAAAAAACACTTCTCAAAACCTCAAATTCAAGAAGTAAAAAAGATCCTTAAAGCAACATTAAAATATATGGAAAAGGATTTTAATCAAAAATTTACTAATGCTATTCAGATATATTTAAATTTACTTCAATATGATGTTGAATCAAGCCCATATTGCTGAGCTATGTAAAAAATTTCTTGACCTATTAATTGATTCATCACTTAATTACAACTTTGTTAGTTCCTTTGTTATTATATAGTTTCTCCTGATTTATACCAGCAGGTCAACACCCCATGTTATCACTGTTTTGGTCTATGTGTCCTAGTTATGTGTAGGTACCTGAAAAATCAACCATAGCTTAAAACCCACAGACATTACAAAGGTTATCACTAACTTTTAGGAGCAGTGGAATCCACAGATTGTGTGTTGCCTTCTCTTGAAAACAGACTGGGTTTGAGCTCTTCTGATGAAATTGTTTATCACTCTGGGATCACCTTTTCCCACCAACCTTTGCTATAGTACCATCATCTGTGTATCTGGTGCCACTGAATTTGAGTTAGTCTTCAGTTACACTACCAACAGGATGAGATAAATTAAATCAATATTCTCCTCCTTACAGATTAATTTAGCAATTCATGGCAGTTGTAGACATTCTTTCCTTTGCCCAGTTCTAAACTACACTCCATCACAGTATTCTGCTTGGCTTTTGAATTAATATAACTTAATTTGTGAGCAACGACTCCTTCTGTCTTAATGAAATCTTTCAGTTTTTGATTTCAATTCTATTGCATAGTCTGGGCATCTTTACCCACTACCAGTGAACTTTGTTTCAGATATCAAAATGCAGAGTAAAAACCATACAACCTAAAAGTGTTTCAGTTGTAGTTCTAATGCCTAAATGAGTTCTTTTGATTATTTTTTTAAGAAAGACTATCTTTAGTTAATTAGAATTCAAGTTTATGCAAAATATTTTCATACCATCATGTTGTACTGAATGAAAACATGAGGGCTTTTATTCTGGCTGAAAAGATGCCAGCAGGAGCAAACTAATGAGCCCCAAAAAGAGAACATTTGTACAGCTGGAGTCTGAATGTTAGCAAAAGCTGCTTGTTTTTGATTGACACTGTAAAAGTCATGGTGGTGGAAAGTGATCAATAATACTCCCTCTGTGACAATGTAAATACTAGGATTCAAGAGAGATTGCCAAGGAAAAATATTCAGAGACTCAGCTCACTTTGGGTAAGCATCCAAGACCTCAGAACTTTCCTCTAAGTGCCTTACCCTTTGGTGTCTCCAAATTTCATTCAAAAATAGGTTGCTCAGTGGCTTGTTTTGAGCATTCAGGATTTCTCTGGGCTATGGTAGGAAGGAAGCATGATAATAAATAAGAACACATCTTAGAATTAACACTTATAAATATTTTAAAATATTAAATTTGGAAAAAGATTTCTTCTCCCAATCTTTAGTTTGACTTATATCTTTCTTCACATCAGCTTCAAAATGCTGTATATTTAAAACACAGAGCAGGGACTGTTCGTTTCCATGTTGATATATGCAGCAAAGTCTACAACCCAGATTATTCAAAAATTTCATAGGATGTGTCTACATGATCTTATTGAACTGCAACAGGGCCAGACTTCCTTAGAAATACATAAAATAGAACCCCATCTGAAAAGAGAGGGCAATGGTTTGTCACTATTCAAAACCTGTGAGTTTCTTCTAAGCAATGTAGCAGTATTCCAGGAGTGGGAAGCTTCATGTAAGAAAGAAGAAAAAAAGAAGAAAAACAAAAGAAAAAAAGAAGAAAAACATGTAAGGTAACTTGAAGAAGAGACAAGAATACGTAGAAGGATGGATGCATCAAAAGGACAGAACGCAGGTAAGAACATGAAGGTATGAAGGCGACAGATACAGACCATGAAAACCTTCAAGCAATGCAAACACAGCAGCTCGAGGTCCTCGCTGAGGGTGAGTGACCAGGCAGGCAGGAGAAGTGCTGCGTGCAC